CATTTCTAACAAAATCACCCTTCTTTAAGAACTGTTGGGCGAGATCAATGGTGCTTGCCTGTGATAATAAATAGGTGCATATTTTTGTGGAGCAAATATTTTAACCAATATTTCACTCTGCCCTCATTGCACTTTTGATAAAAGGCAGCTCCAATTCAATCTCTGGCTTACCAAAAAATGCATATCCATTCAAGCATTTTTTATTATTATTACAAAGATGAAAAATAGAAGCTTAAAATGGATGCTTCATATACTACAAAACATCCCACTCAACTTTCTCGTGTGTGGCTTCTTCTAAAGAGTAACAAAGCTAGGCATCCACTTTCTTTACCAGGTTAAGTAGTTAGAGATAGATTCTTCTATCAGTAAAATGAAAGTACCTTCAAGCAGGATGCTATTTTGTATCACCATGATACTATTTCTGGTCAATGCCTCTTTGCCCCAATTAAGGCTACTGAGTTGGGGACAGGCATATGTTGAAATCCATAGTAAACAGTGATATAAAATATAGAAGACAGAGTTACAAGGAGCTTTATTTGTCAATGCTTTTGTGATCTTAAAATATGGTGGAGTTTTGTGTTAACCTGAGAATCTCGTATATTGCTAATAAATCTTCCTCCAATATGATAGCAGTGTAAAAAAGGAATTTAAAGAAAAAATAGCAAGGTATAGCCTTTATTTGTTGGTTCCTTTGGTTACTAGACATTAAGATGCACACACTACTGAGAGCAAGGGGTTGTGGCAGAGACCACAGATAAGAAACAGAAGAAAGCATAGTCCCTGTCTTCAAAAAGCTTAATTCAGGAGTATTCTGAGATTATAAAACCTATAGCAAATTTCTAAGGAATTAAACCACCAATTTCTGGCCTTAACAAGCAATCAAGGGTTATCACATGCATGGTACTGCCTAGCTGTTCATCTGTTCATTCTTTCAAATGGAGGGCCAGCCCCATCTAAGCCCAGCACTATCTCGATGTATTAAAAATCATAGTGAAGTGCTCTAAATAATGTTGCTTTACAAGTAGGTAGAGACACTAGATGTCTGGTGGGGAACACATTTTGCCCCATTTGAACATTTTAAAACCTGCATAAGCCATTAATGAGAATTTAGGAACATGTTTGAGGTGACTATCACCATTGTAACTTCCAGAGGCTCCACCTTTAGAAACGAATGGCTCTTTAAGTATTAAAATAAGGATTTAATGTACATTATAACTAATAGTACTTGAGATGAAAGCAAATGACCCTACCCCCCTCCCAGGTACCAAGAGGGGTCAGATTTCCCATTTATCAGCAAGTCGGTCAGGGTAGCCCAGCGTCTCAATCTCAGACTCTCTTCTGTGGCTGCTTCTTGGATGGCTGAGGAGAACACTTCAAAAATGAACCAGCTAAACAAACTTCCTAGCAGCACTTGACAGAGCTACACCTATTCTTCCCATTTCCAAAGCAGTGGAGAATTAATTACCAGTTCTATGGATCTATTGTAAGTATAATAGACTAAAGAGCTATCACAGACACATTTATTGTAAAAGCACAATCCCAAGAGTGTCTAGTGGAGGGCCAAAACGATTAACACAAATGCTTTGTCAGATCAAAGATAAAACCTGCACCGCCCAATTGAGGAATGAATTAGAACAGTGGGTTATCTTTCAAATTAACCAGGGCAGTTAGTGAGGAAAATTTCATGAAAGTGTAATTCTTAGCCTTTGTGAATCCACACAGCAGGCATTCTGCCAGCTGACAAGATGATGAAATTTTCATGCTTAAAAAAAGCCCTCTTCATTTCCCAATTTAGATTAGCTAGTGTTTCTCTCCCTTTTTTGCCTGTGTGTCTATTCGCTCTTAAGAGGAAGGGGAACACATATCAATTTTTCACTGTAAAATTGAGTCTTTCAAAAACATCCCTAAAAGCTTAGAGATACAGTCTTTAAGCTGGCTTTTTATGATTTTCAAAAAATACCAGTTCAATTCTAACTTTGTACAGAGAAACCATCAAGGACCAGGGCATGAAACCAACTTCGAATTAAGGCTTTCTGCGCTACCTCCAAGTCTTTCAACACTTCATCAAATCTCGAGATAAAGCATTGATAGAGTTGCCTTCCTCCTAAATAAATTAGTATATTACTTAAAAAAAATCCTTACTCGGTACTTTTTGTATTTCTATGTATATTAAAATTTAACTGTTCCAAGAAATGAGAATTTGAGGGATACGTTAATTGCTATATGTGAGGGGGGAAAAAGCATCTCCTCTCTTATTAAAGGAGCCAATAATGAAACATTATTATCTGACAGAGACTAAATCTCAGGTTACATAAACTTTTAAAAATATTAGTTATACCACATTTATTCAGTCCATATTATTTATTCATTCATGACAGAAGACAACAGAATATGTGATGCATTCTCCTAAAATTAAAGTGATGTGGAAGTATACTTTGCTACCCCAAACCTTTGTCCCTTTTTGCTTTACAACCTGATTTCTTAGTGATCAAGAACTATGTTCCTTGGTAAGTTATAGTGTTTGGTCAAGTACCACATTCCACTTATCTTCCTAAAGTCCTTTCCTTTCTCAGTGTAGGTTGACTTCCCCTGTAGTGATTCTAAGAATAAAATGAAAAAAGATATGGAGACTCTTACCGCAGTCCACAAATAACATTTATGCACAATGTATAGTATTTTTTTAAGTTGCAAAATAGGAGGAAACCATTTCGGTAATTAGCTTCAGAGAATAGTCACTTAACTCCAGTACTTAACTATCAATATCCTTGCCTTCCATACATTTGTATAGGAGTCTCCAGATGGATTATCATCACTATGATATATAGCACTGAACTAACTGTAATCAGTATCACCTGAGGCACAGTAACAAAAGAAACTCAATGCCATGTCCCTCTATTGGCAAAAGTTCTTTTAAGTCTGGGGTCAGGAGGAAACAGAATGGTCTGCCAATAAAACAGAAACTAGAGGTACATGAACTTTTTGTATAAAAGCTCTGATCTTGAAAATATTTAAAATGCTTGTTCAGGATAAGGCCACGAAAAGAATGAATAACGGATTTCTTTCTCTCCCATCCAATCATATATGATTAAGATCAAAAAGTAGAGAACTAAGTTCCTAATTTTGAGGACAGTAATATCAATCTTCAACCTCAGGAGTGACATGTGACTATTTTGATTAGAAATCCCTTAGAAAAGTCAATCAAGTGGGCAGTTAACTACAGGAAAACTGTTACTTGCTGTTAATGAGATGGCTTGTGGACAAGACAGTTAAAACAAATGCTCTAACATTTTGTGTTAAATATCTAGATCCCTAAAAGTAGGTTATTTAGCTTGAAAATACTTATATAACCATGACCATTACCACCACAACACAATACACGATTAGGTCAGAAATCGATCTTCCAGTTAGGGCATATTTCTAACTATACAGAAGATCATTTTTCTGCTATTCTCAACTTAGTCAAAACAGATAGTTTCTTCTAGTACTAACATTTCCATGGTGAAGATGTTTGATAGACTAAACAGAGAGAAAACTTAGAATTCTTCTCAAGAATCATACTCTGCTCAATGAGTCCTGTAAATGAGGAGCTGAATAGTTTTGATTTGGGGCACTTCTTGCTAAATAAAGGCTTAACATTTCATGTACTGAACATTTCATCTACTGTGGAATGTGACCCCACAGATAACCTTTATTCCCATCCACCTGTTCAGTAAGTGTAGCACAGGATTATTCACTAAAATGTTTCAGATTTTCCCAAAATGTAGTTATAATTATTATTTTTAAAAATCTTCAGACAAACCTACTTGCTTTTTTGACAAATACAAATTGTTCTACACCAAAATCACAATGCTGGAACTCTGTTTTCACTATTTGTCCTAATGACCTAATACTTGCTTTTCACATATTGAGTTCTATTCTAAAGGAGAAAATGCTATGTTATATGTTAACTAGCATATAATAAGTAGAAAGTACAGAATGACACTGATAAGTCAGGAGTCTTACCTAATAAAACCTAAGCAATTTTTTTAAATGCTTTGTCAATGCAGCTTCTTTAAAGAAGTTACAGTGAACTTTCAAGTAATAAAAAAAGTGTGCAGATGACAAATGACAATGAAACACTAAGAAAAATCAAATGGGAAATGTGGGGGATTTTTTTTGTATTTTATTTTAATTTTTGAAGGGAAAAAACTCATTCACATGAAATGTATTCAAAAACTTTAAATGAAAGCCTTCTTTCTAATGAAGACAGATCACTTACTGTTCCAGCATTTTTACTGTATATTTATAAAACTCAGACATTCTCTTTAAAATGCCAGATAAAATGCATTTAAATTTAAAAGATATTCATATTGATTTCCTCAGAAAACTAGGCTATGAAGTGGTTTAGACTGCCACATAAACACAAAGTATTAGCTAGTGGGCAGTTTATTAAAATCTACACATGGGCCGGCCCATGGCTCACTCGGGAGAGTGCGGTGCTGATAACACCAAGGCCACGGGTTCGGATCCTATATCGGGATGGCTGGTTTGCTCACTGGCTGAGCGTGGTGCTGACAACACCAAGCCAAGGGTTGAGATCCCCTTACCGGTCATCTTTAAAAAAAAAAAAAAAAAAAAATCACTACACATGATTTTATGGCTCTACTTGCCAATGATAGGCAATACTGATTTTTTTCTTCCTCTGTCCAAAGATCTGAATGACCATTTAATTTAGTCATATTTAGGTAACAATAAACTAAAACACTTCCTGATCATATTCTCATTTTTTCTTAAAAGCAGAAATTTTATTTGAAATATTGCTCATTAACAAAAGAGATGTAATGCCTAAGGAAAAATCAAATCATCTGTCAGGCTAATATGCCAAAATTACATATTTTATCATATTTGTATTAAGAGCATTTCACCAGGAATTTTCTCCAAAGTCTTTTCATAAAAACCAATAAAACAAGTACCAAACCTCAGTAAGTTGTATATGTAAAAACCTCATCATTGATACTTACATCATAGTACTTTTTAATACAACGTCTAATGTCCACGATCAATTTGTTGCTCAGCTGTACCATAAAGGTCAGAGGTGAAGCCTTACAGTCAATGTTACTGCAACGATACAAGCTGGGCTCCATATCAGTTCCCTACATAATTAAGGACAGACAAGTACACAAAAGGTTACTACAAGGTTTAAAAGGTTTTTTGTGCTTTCCGGGTGTACAATATTCGTAATTCATTTTACTGGTGAGTTTTTAAACCTATTTTCTCAACTACTTTTCTCCCAAAGACACCTTTAGTCACACATACCTTCCAATCTTTTGCCATCATCATAATGGAGTACAAAGTCAAAAGGAAAAGCTTAAAACCACTATTTTATATTCAACACATGACAGACTCTATGGATAAAATAATTTTCCCTCTGAAAATACTAGCAAAGTCACATTATTAAAAATAAACATCTTTCTTAGAGATATTAATCAAAATTTTAAATTTGTACTTATTGATTCCAAATTCAAAGATAAAGCAAGAGCCCTTATAGCATTAGTTTGTTTTCATCTTGACAACTTAATTTTAAGAATAAAGTTTAAAACTTGTTTCACCACGAAAGCAGTATCACTTGTCTTCGGCCTAGCAAATCTAAAATTTCTCCAATTTTTTTCAAAAAATTAAATATATTTGGAAGAGGGGAGGCAGGAGGAGTAGAAATTTGAAAGAATTAATATTAGTAGACGGAGAAAACGCTTTGTTTTGTTGTGTTTTAAGCAGAGACAAAGCAAATATATAGAAAAAACTGTTGGGGTTTCTGGAGCATTTGTTTTCCTTCTTGATACTTAAATATCTTGGTTTCCTGCTCCAATCTGGTACATAACCCTACCCGCCATGCTAAGCAATTCCAGGTGGAAGAGATTTTAGAGCTTGACATCGGCTCTTCCACAGTTAGCCCATCTGCAAGTCGTCAAGCCTCTATGCAATTAACTATCTTATTTACAGCTGTAATGAAGCAAAACTCAAGGATTTAGCAAGTATTGCTGATCTGTGTCTGCCTCTTCCTTGCACTTGCTTCCAAAGACTGCTTTGTTTTGATTCAAAAAAATGCAAAACATCTGCTGTTTGTCCAAATTAACTTAAAATAATTACTTTTAATTTAGATAAAGGATGTCTTTTCTTTCAGTTTCAAGGTTTACACAGTTCTGCTGCCTACCCATTTGCCAATGGTTAGTACATGCATAACACTGCAGTGGAATCAAGTAAATTGGCTAAGTTTCAAGTTCTGATCCAAGGTCAATGATACATTTTTTGGCAGTACTTCTTGAGAGGAATGTCTCCCTGTGACTTTTTAAATGTCTGATATGCAAAGACAGCAGAAAAGATAGTAAGAGTACCTTTGTCAAAAAGGAGGCAAGTGGGATGTGTAAAGATAAACAAAAACTTTCCCAAAACACTTAGTTCCCATTAACTTGATATAAGATAAAGGAAAATACTGCTCTAAGTCTTAATAAACAGGGGTTGGGAGTGGGGAAATACAGGCTACTAATTAAGGAATTATAATAAAAATATTTTTTTTAAATTAGAATTTTTAAGAGATTCTGTTTAAAAACCAAGGTCAAGCACTCTAGGAAACCAAAAACAATATTCAAGCACATTCAATTAAGAGTTTTCAAGCAAAAATAAAGTTGTGAAAGCAGAATTCATCCGATGCTAAAATTCTTTAAACACAGGAAAGCAACATGAAAGTATGGGTTTTTTTTTTTCCTTTCTATATATCCTATAGTGGCGGGGAAGGGGGATTTATACTAGTTCACTCAAAAAATGAAACTAGGAAACAAAAAGAAACAACTAACCGAACCATCAAAGACATTATCATAAATATTCTCGGTTCCACACGTAGGGCATGGGCATTTGAATCTTTCACAGTCCCTGTATTTCTCTTCATCAGTGAGCTGTGCTGGGCCACCAAGTAGAGCATCATTCTCTTCATCTTTATGATAATGAAGAACTCTAAATTGGGTGGGGTCAAGTCCTATTAATGTAAAAGAAAAAACAAATTCAGAAAAGTATTTATCTTAAAAAAAAACAAAAAAGAAAATTCTCACAAAAGAATGATTTTAAATTCATGCACACTCATACACAACCATTTGAACTCAAGATCGCATGGGCGAATGACTTTTCTTTTTACAAGAGGTTACTTTATAAATAAAATAAGTCACTGCAGCAATGCAATGCAGAAATATTCCACCAGACATTTGGGTTTGGAAGCAACCACTTTATAGAATGTTTTTATTATTTTCTTAAAGTTACAGTGACAGAATATCAAATATTCACTGTTATTAAGAAACGCTCATTAAATCAAAGTGTTACCATTAAAACTGAAAACAGAATAAAAATCCCATTAAAGAAAACAGGTTCACTGCCATTACAACTCCTTCAAGTGCAGACACAACTGCTAACCCTGATTTCAATGCAGTGGTCGATTTTTTCTTGGCTCAGTAGTTAACAGCATGTAGGTTGCAATCTAATTCAGTGGTTAAAATTCAGTAGCAGCATCTGAGACAAAACGCAACATGGGTTTCTTGGTGTTTAGAATTCAGAAATTTTAAATGTGTGCAAAACCAATGGATCTACAGATTCTATAGGCCAAAACATCCCTGACAATCCTGAAACCAAGTATACCTTCCATATTTCAATCAAAACACAAGAAATCAATCGATGCATAGCTTATGCTATCTTGTTTCCACAAACTTTTAAGGAAACAAACATTTTTAGGCCACTCAATTTAATTTACCCTTGGCCAAAGCATATCTGTCAAAATTTACTATATGAATTTACACTTCAAGATAATTATGCCACACTATATCTTACAATATTTTCTTGAAAGCATCCCTTAACAATACCTAAAATTCTAGGCTTTTGGAAATCTAAAGAAAGCTATCAAATCTATTTCAGCATAAAGGTAAACAAGCAATATAAAATAGTCACTGAGCAAAAAGTTCACAAATACCAAAATTATCTAACAATTGTTTTAAATCTATCAACAGCTACATAGGTAAATAATCTAATAGATGTATTCAGAATTCAGTGACAAAACCCTAAATCCTATTTGGCCAGTCATCAAGTTGACATCTAGTAATTACAAAATACTTGAAGCAGGCTCTTACACAGTGGAAAGGTGCCAAACAAAAAATAAGACACTAAGACACAGAGTCTCAGTTTTCTCACCTGCGAAATGGAGGTAGTGTCACTGACATACAGTTTTGAAGTTTAAATCAGATAATATACAACAAATGGAGTTCAGTGGTGCCTGTCATGTGGTAAGCATTCAATAAATGTCATTTGAATGAAAAAAAGAAAATAGTGAATGAACATCATTTAATCCAGACTATATTTAGTCAAGATTATGCATTTAGAAAAATATATGAAACACATGTTCATGCTGCACATGAAGATAATAGCTACTACTTGTAGGAATTAAAATACTTCCTAAAGTGGTAGTATATAATAAAAATAAAGAATATACATTTAGAACAATTTGAAGAGCTGTTCTTCATTAGTGACATAAATTACTGTAACCTGTGTCACTTAGCCCTAAGAGAAACAGCAAATCAGTAAAGTATGTGGGAATATACACCCACACATTTAGAGATAAAGAGGGGCAGAGGAATTGAGTGAAAGAGATGATGCCTGTGAATGAGGCCATTTCTTTTTTTTTTTTTCCTTTTTGTCTTTTTTTCGTGTCCAGCAACGGATCGCAACCCTCAGTGTCGCGCCCGTACCGGACCGGGACCGGCAACGGGATCGCAACCCTCGGTGTTGTGCCCGCACCTCGCTCAGCCAGTGAGCGGGAACCGGTCTGTATGTGGGATCCAAACCCTCCGCAGGAGCGCCACCGTGCTCCCAAGTGGCGCACTGTAGCAGTGCGCCACCGGGCCGGCCCGAATGAGGCCATTTCTTCTCTGTAGTGAAGGATAACTGTTGCTATTTCATTAAACTCTAGTTGTGAATCCAACTGCATTCACATAATATCTTGTTTATTTGTGATTATGAGAAAGCAGCTTCACCTTTTCTCTGACCATGTGATTATTAATCAATTTCCCAGGCCAATACTAATCCAAAATTAAGGAAAAAGAAAAATATATATAATCAAGATTTTTCTAAAAGGCAAGCTTCTTTCATAGTCCAAAAATCAAGGAACAAAACAACGCTGGTTTGCACATATACAAAATTGGCCGGGCTATGAAAAGAAACAAATAGGAGCTGGTCCCTACCCCTCTCCACCAGCCACGGCTCACCTGGCACAGCTGAGTGCATGAAGCTGCAAGCACTGGCCCAGGGCAGCCTGCCTGCTGAGTAAGCCAAAAGTGGACATAGGCCGTCTTGCTACTCATGGAGAAATGTCCAGCAACAGGCCCAAACTTGTGAAAATATATCAGGCTTTATAAAATGTCTGCTCTAAATGTCCATTTCCACAAACCACTCTTATCTTCCCATGGCAGTAACAAAGCCTAGGTAATTACTTCAGATTTATTCCCAGGCAGAACTTTTTCAGGGGAAGGGACTTTAATCTTAGTATTCTTGGTCATAGTTCAATGTTAAAAAAATTTTTTTAAAGGGGGTGAGAAGACACTGTAATTACCTTAAAATATTAGGTATATAATGATCCTTGTACTGGTTACTTGAATACCGAAATGTCATTTTAAAAAGTGATTTTCTTGGGAGGACAATTATAAGTTAAACAGACAAATGACAGAGGGCTAAATCAAATCTTTTTAAGAAAATATATAATGCCACGTTTAAAAAAATTTTTTTAAAGGATCGTTGCTGCTGGAATCTTTTTTGAAAAGGTGAAAATCCAGGCTTAAACAAGCCCCAAACTTATTCAACATATAAATCAAATTTTCCAAATCCCCCACAAAATTGTCAATAGCTTATTTCGAAGTTTCAGCAGACTTAAAAGTTTTACTGCTTATACCATAACTCATTACAGCTAGAGTGAAACCGGAAAAAAGTATCTGGTGCTGCCACCTAGAGGTAGAAATTTTGAATTTTAAAATGTGCAAAATGGAGCTGCTACACTCCATTTGTAATTACTTTCAGCCCCAAATTAAACATTTCTCTCAGAAATGACATTAAAGCAAACTCTGTATCATCACACTTGTCCTACATGCATATACACTGTATAATTAATATTAAAATGCTCACCATACGACGAGTAACCATATTAGTCTTTGAGCAAGAGACACAAAACTGAATTCCAAATTCCTTACCTCTCTCCTACTGAGAGCTTTCTCTGAACAACTGGCTTAAAGAAACAAACTTTATGCTTTGAGAAAAGGAACTTCCACTTCTACTAGACTAGCTTTTGACAGGTCACTTGAATCACTTGGTCAGGCACAAAATAAAGGAAGGAACCACCTGCTAGGGCTTTATAAAACCAGTTATCTTGGGGAAGAGCGGCCGTGGTTTCTCCCACAATAAGCAGAGATGATGTATGCTTTAATTCAATCCTGTGACTTGCAGTGACCGAGTCACTTGTGCTAAGGTGAGGGGACAGAAGAGGCAGTGGAATAAAATTAAAACAGTCATTTATAATTAGAAAATTTATAGAATCTCACATTATTTTGGCAACAGAATCAAAGCGCTCATGTTTCAAGAAATATTTATGGAAAGTAACATCATAGGTATTGGGTGGATGGGTTTAACAGTACCGTTTCTACTTAAGATCACCACAGTCTTATCACATACACCCCCAATGTGACATTTAAAACAAAATTATTTTTCCTCCCATTGCACCTTTTAACCATTGTAAACTATGCCTGTTTTAAAAATGTTAACTTGCCCATATTCCCAAGAAGTAAACTGTTCATAACTTAAGGCATATAGTTATGTGAGAGGCTAATGCATTTGATCAAATATTTTCCTTCCTCCAAAAGACATGGTCTCTATTAATGCAACTGCAAATAACTGCAGTAAAGCCAGTTATATATGTTCATGCAAGTGGGAAAGAGGGAAAATCCATGTAAATGAAACTCCAAATGAGTAAAGAGAGTAACTGGTATCCCCAAGCAGTTATTTGTAATATGAAGCACTTAAGCTACTAAGGAAGCTAATTAATGGAATCCTGCTGTAGAATATTTTGCAAAAATTTATTTTAGGAAGTGAATCATCTATCTTTTGCATAAACGCAGGCTTTCATATATCTGGGCTTCTTAGAGGACAATATATAAACTGAAATCCAGTATGACTAAAGAAAAAATACTTAATGAATTTTTAAAGGGTGAATGCTGTGTCCATAAAAAGATTTGTATAAGAATGCTTATAGCAGCTTTATTCATAATAGCCCAAAAATGGAAATAATCGAGATGTCAAGAGCAGATGAACTGGTATAATCTACCATGGAATACTACTCAGCAATGAAAAGGAATGAATACTGACACACACAACAAGATAGATGAATCTCAAAAATATTATGCTAAGTGAAAGAAGTTGAACATAAAAAGTATATACTGTAGGAAACCACTTACATAAAATTTGAGAATAGGCAAAACTAACCTATGATGGTAAAATCAGATAAGCAGATGCTTTTGTGAGGGGTGTGTGGACTGGGAAGGGGCACATGAGAACATTCTGGGGTGATGGAAATGTTTTGTATCTGTGTCTTGATAAACTGATTATATGATACTCTCATGGTAAATTATGTAAATTATACTTGTAAAAAAGCATGCCAAATAGAAGATGATTGTAATATATATTTCCAAAGGACTCATATTTAGAATATGTAAAGAATGCCTGCAAATCAGTAAGAAAAACACAACTCAATAGAAAAGTTAAAAAGCACAAACAGGCACATCACAAAAGGAGATATTCAAATGGCCAAGAAGCATGTGAAAAGGTGCTCAACTTCATTGTCACCAAAGAAATACAAATTAAAATCACAATATTATCACCACATAAAAAGAAGAAGATGGAAAATACCAAATGTTGGTGCTAGTACGGGGTGTAAATTAGTAGAACTACTTTGGAAAA